TCAAGTGAAATTACTTTCTTAATTTTATTTTTGCATTGTTCTTTGCTAGGACATGAAAGTATAATTGATTTTTGCATAATGATCTTGTATTTTGCAATCTTGCTGAATCATTTTATTAGCTCTGTTTTATTTATTTGTTCATAGATTCCTTAGGATTTTGTACATAGAAGATCGTGTCAACAAATAGAGACAGTTTTACTCTTTCCTTTTCGATTTGGGTATCTTATATTTCCTTTTCCTACCTAATTGTCCTGACTAGAACCTCCAGTACAGTGTTTAATAAAAGTGGTGAAAGTGGACCTTTTTGTCTTTTTCTTGAGCTTAGAGGGTAAAGCTTTCAACTTTTACTGTTAAGGATGATGTTAGTTCTGGATTTTTTTGTAACTGCCCTTTACCAGATTGAGGAAGTTCCCTGCAATTTCTAGTTTGTTGAGTGTTTTCATTATGAAACGGTATTACATTTTGTCAAATGCCTTTTCCTCTCTATTGAGATGACTATAGAATAAAATTCTCCTGGGAGGCAGAAGTTGTGGTGAGCAGAGATCGCACCACTGCACTGCAACCTGGGCAACAGGGAAAGACTTTGTCTCAAAAAAAAAGAAAAAAAAAAAAAACAGAATAAAATTCTCATCCTTTATTCTGTTAATATGGTATATAACATTGATTAATTTTGTTTGTTAAATAAACCTTGTATTTCTGGGATAAATCTTATTTGGTGATGTTGTGTGTTACTTTTTATATGTTGCTGGACTGTTTACTAGTATTTTATTAGGAATTTTTGCATCTATATTTATAAGAGATGTTCTGTAGTTTTATTTTATATGTCACTGTCCAGTTTTGATATCAGTGTAATACTGGCCTTGTAGAACGAATTGAAAATGGTCTCTTCTAAGTTTTTGAAGAGTTTGTAAAGGATTGGTGTTAATACTTCTTTCAACATTTGGTAGAATTCAATAGTGAATTCATCTGTAGTTTTTCTGTGGGAAGTTATCTTGAAATACTGATTCAACCTTTTTACTTCTATAGATCAATTCTATTTCTTCTTAATTTGGTTTTGCTAATTTGTGTCCTTCTAGGAATTTATCCATTCCATATAGATTTCTAATTGTTGGCATTCAATTATTCATAATATTCCTTTATAACTATTTTGTCTCTGTAAAGTTGGCAGTAATATCCCCAAACTTGAAATTTGACTATATTTTTTAAATCTCTAAATATTCTGTCTCATCTTTATTAAGAAGAGCCATGAGATATACAGACATTTCATCCAGAAGGGGCTTTGATCTAGTGCGTGAGCATGGCAGCAGGAATTTTCAAACACAAACATGCTGTAATGTGGAAGTTTGGTCTATTTTCAAGTAGTATCTTCAATAGTGGTTGAAAACATGGGAGATGCCTAAGTAGAAGTGAGGGCCTGGCACAGTGGCTCATGCCTATAACCTCAGCACTTTGGGAGTCCGAGGCAGGAGGATCTCCTGAGGTCAGGAGTTCAAGACCAGCCTGACCAACATGGAGAAACCCTGTCTCTACTAAAAATACAAAATTAGTCAGGCGTGGTGGTGCACACCTGTAATCCCAGCTACTCGGGAGGGTGAGGCAGGAGAATTGCTTGAACCTGGGAGGCAGAGGTTGCAGTGAGCTGAGACTGCACCATTGCACTCCAGTCTGGGCAACTAGAGCAAAACCCCGTCTCAAAAATAAATAAATAAAACAAGTGAGTAGGGGATTTTGGTCCAGCCTGAGGATTTCAAGTCAAGGACTAGACATACCGTTCTATACTTGTATCACATGATGCAAAATAAAACATTATTTAGAATCATTACTTAAGGGGAAACCACTGAGCAAGGATTCATCTGAAATATAAAGGCCCTGGTAATAGGAAGAAAGCAAAAACTGGATTCAAGCTCCAGGGTATATTAGAAGATGCAAATTTAAATTAGCAGTGCCTTTGTAAGGAAAAAAAATTATCTAAGCCTAAGCATGTTGTAAGCAGCAGGAAACCAGACTCTCAGAATTAAGACCAGAAAAAAACTGTCAAGAAAATGATTTGTGACTCCATTTAAAGGATGGACTGCTTGGCCAACAGGAGCTATGAGCTGTGATAAATGTCCATGTTCTCACCTTCTTTCTTCAGCTTCCAGGGTGATGGTAATTCTAAAAAAGTTCCATCCTATCAAGGATCAGGGTCTCAATATGTATTCTTCCAATCTTCTCAGGAGATTTTATATTATCAATTCCTTTTATAGCTTACGTCTTTAATCTCTCTTTCTACATAATTTTCCCAACTATCATTAAGAAAAAAAAAAAAAACTTGGCCATTACCCAAGTGTGTTGGCGGGCGCCTGTGGTCCCAGCTACTCAGGAGGCTGAGGCATGAGAGTTGCTTGAACCCGGGAGATGGAGCTTGCAGTGAGCTGAGATCACGCCACTGCCCTCCAGCCTGGGTGACAGAGTAAGACTCCATCTTAAAAAACAACAACAACAAACCTTTTGTCTCCCATCTTAAAAGGAAACAAAACACCAAATAAATTTTATTAGGACACTCATAATCTTCTACCTACTATGTCTAGTCTTTCCATCCCGTTCAGGCCAAACTTCCTAAAATAATTTTCTGCCTCTAATACTTTCCACATATTTACTCTTCAACCCATTTGAATCTCACTTTCACCTTTCCCTTCACTGAAATACTAAAATAGCCTTTTCTAAAAATCTTATTGCTGCTAAATTAAATAAGCACTTATCTGTCCTCATTTTCCAGGGTATCTTTGTAGTGTCTCCATTGCTGACAACAACCTGCTCTTTGGAGAACTCCCTATTTTTCTTGTTTTCTCCTACTTTGCTGGTTATTCTTCTTCAGTTTCTTTTACCATTTCCTCTTTCTCTGACCTTTAAAAGAAGAACTTTCTCAGGGTTTGATTCTAGATTTTCTTTTATTATCGTGCTTCAATATATTCCTAGTAGATACATGTGTTTAATCATCTTCTACATGTCAGTGACTCCAAAAGTTATACCTCTCTCCCCACCTCTTTAGTACCACACCTGTGCATCCAAAGACACTTTCCCATCTGGCTTTCTGAGAAGCTTCTCAACCATGTCACAAACTGAACTACTCATTTTTACCCTAATATATCATTTATTTTTCAGTATTCACTATCTTAGAAAATGGCATGACCATTTACCCAGTAATTCATTCAAGAAACTCTTTCTTCTCTGTTGCCTCTTCTTTTCCAATCAATCACAAAGTCGTCAATTAAGTCTCTTATATATTTCTCAAACTTTTCACTCCTTCTATTTTACCAGCTCCCTAGATTAAGAAAGTATCATCTTAAACACCTGCACTGCTGAAATATCCTCAATAAGAAGTCTTCTCATATTCATTGTTTCTCCCCTTCATTCTCCAAAAAGCTGTTAGAGTAATCTTTTGGAAATGCAATGATCAGTCTGTAATACTACCATTTAAAATCCTTCAACTGTTTTCCATTACCCATAGAATAAATATTGTGAGTCATAACATGTTCTAGAAAGTCCTACATTACCTGCCTTCACCTACCTCTCAATCTCATCTAGATCTGTCTTCCCCTTTTCATAATTCAACCACAAATACCCTTCTTTCAGTTCTTCAAAAATGTCAAGCAACTTTCTGCCACAAGGACTTTGCACCTGCAGGGAGGCATACTCCCTTTCCCCAACTTAAACACACACATACACACATACTCCTTTTTAAGCCTCAATTAAAGTTGTTGCTTCCTCAACAAAATCTCCCCTGATTTCTCCAGATTAAGCGGGTCATCCTGTCAGAGCCTTTCCCTCCACTGTGTACATTTCCTGAACAGCTCACATCTCAACCGTAAATCAATTACTCTGTTTTTGTACAGTGTCTCTCTCCATTGCACTATAAGCTCCAATATGCCACTGTGTATATTTACCTTGTTCATGATTGTGAACATATGGTTACTATCTCCAGTAACCACAATTCCTGGTCCATAATTGCTTGCCCAGAAATATCTAAAAACTAAACAAATGAATAAAGAAATAGAGTAAGAGAACACTTGTGGTTCTGTTTGTGCTTCCATGTCTCTCCTTATCAAACTATTTCAAACCCCACCTGCTGGAGGGAAGTCTCCTGACTATTTTACACACAAAAGAGGTCTTTCTTAAGAAAAGTGGGAGGATGAGTGTCTCCAAAATTAGGCAGGGCTGGGAATTTCAAATCCAGAATCTCATTGCCTAGAGGAAAAGATAGCAAGAGAAATCGACGGCTGGCATATTTAGCTGTTTTTCTCCTAAATGGAGGAAATAACTGGCGTTGAGCAAGAGAGGTAGAGAGGAATCAAACATGACTGTGATTATTTGATAGTCAAATTAACTAAAAATAGATGAACACCTCAATGCATTCATAGAACAGGCAATAAACTGTAATGATGCTTACTGCGCTTGGGAAACAATGTCAGTATCTGTGAGAAAGAACTGGAAAAAAAAAAAACCAACCTTTTCTTTAAATGAGAATAACTTCAAATGAAGAGCCTTCCTCTAACTTCTGTGCCTTTTCTCCTTATGTGTGCCTTTTGGATTTGGACTGTGGATTATCCTAAAAGTTTTGTCCCTGAGAGGTATGCGACTCACAGAGTAATATTAATACTTCTGTCCTTGGCCACTTTCCAAACTTTATTCTTATTAGGAACTAATTTCTTGAGTCTCATCTGCTCTTCTCTCACTTCAGCTTTTTCTTTTCTTTGACCCTGATAGCTGGTTTAGACCTTGCCTCACTGTGCAGTGGAGAGAGGAGAATGCTTTCAAGATACCATTTCTTTGTTCAAACAATTCCCCTTGTCTAGAAGATCTTTATACTTCATTTAGCCTACCTGGAAAACCCATTATTTTAAAAATCTGAGATCCAAGGTAATATTTTCCAATAAATAATTCCTTGATCCTCTTTTTGGGACAACATTAATTACCTCTTCTTTCATATTCTTATAGCTTAATATAACGTGTTATTTTACCTGTTGCAATATATTTGTTAGTAATTAAGTCAAAGTCTGGGTCTCCCTCTAAATTCTGGGTGGCTTGAGGACAAGGATAGTAATTCCTCATTTTTCATTGCACTACATAACTTCTAGCCTGTGGTGGGGATTAAAGGAGAAAATAGATAATAAAATATTTAGCACAGCACCTGGCACATAGTGTTAGTTAAAGTGCATAATTATTTTATCATTATCCTAATTTAATCTCTGTTTACTAAGCAAATTAATTTTTTAAAAACCTTATTTATTGTCATAATGCACCTAAATCAATGTTTACCTTGTCATTCAACAGGTTAAGTGTTCTTGGTTACCTACTTTAGAAAATAAATAACACTTTCTACTTCTATCATATAGCATTGAGAATTCCATGCACTGGACTTCTGTCTGTAACATGTAAGATATTTAGGCTAATTACATCTGAGATGCTTTCCCTTTGAACACTCTGTGGCAATATTCTGATGAACCCTTTCTTATCATCCACTGTTCTCTAGTTGTAGCATATATATTCATTTTTTTACTTTTTAGGGAAAAAAGGTAAGTCAAGATTCTTATACATTCAACACCCAAGGTAGTACCTAGCACAGTCATAGACCCACAATAGCCTTGTGAAAAACGTATACATCGAATTCCAAAAAAAAGTCACTGCTTTAACTTGGAGACACAGTTTGGATTTTTGCCCCCACCCAAATTTTATGTCAAATTGTAATCCTCAATACCGGAAGTGGTTTCTGGTGGGAGGTGTTTGGATCATGGGGGTGGATTTCCCACTTGCTGTTCTCATGATAGCGAGTGAGTTCTCATGAGACCTGGTTGTTTATAAATGTGTGGCACCTCACCACTCTCTCTTTCTCCTGTTCTGGCCATGTAAGATGTGCCTGCTTTCCCTTTGCCTTCAGGAATGAGTGTAAGTTTCCTGAGGCCTCCCCAGAGCCATTATGCTTTCTGTAAAGCCTGCAGAACTGTGAGTCAGTTAAACCTCGTTGCTTTATAAATTACCCAGTCTCAGGTATTTCTTTATAGCAGTGTGAGAATGGACTAATACAGAAAATCAGTACCAAGGAGTGGAACTGGGTAACAAGAAGAGGTTGGAAAAGTGTGGAGGACTCAGAAGAAGATGTGAAGATGAGGGAAAACTTGGCACTTCCTAGAGACTTGTTGAATGGTAATAACCAAAATCTTGATAATGATATCAATAGTGAAGTCCAGGATGGGGTGGGGTCTCAGATGGAAATAAGGAACTTATTTGGAACTGGAGCAAAGGTTACTTTTGTTATTTGTTAACAAAGAGGTTGGATGCATTATGCCCCTGTTCTAGGGATCTGTGGAACTTTGAAATTGAGAGTGATGATTTAGGGTGGCAGAAATTTCTAAGCAGTAAATCATCCAAGATGTAACCCAGTTGCTTCTAACAACAACATATGCTCATATGCACAAGCAAAGAAATGATCTGAAGTTTGAACTTACTTTTGATTTTTTTTTTTTTTTTTTTGAGGCGGAGTCTCACTCTGTCGCACAGGCTGGAGTGCAGTGGCACGATCTTGGCTCAGTGCAAGCTCCGCCTCCCGGGTTCGCACCATTCTCCTGCCTCAGCCTCCCGAGTAGCTGGGACTACAGGCGCCCGCCACCGCGCCCGGCTAATTTTTTTGTATTTTTAGTACAGATAGGGTTTCACCGTGTTAGCCAGGATGGTCTCGATCTCCTGACTTCGTGATCCGCCCACCTCGGCCTCCCAAAGTACTGGGATTACAGGCTTGAGCCACCGCGCCTGGCGGAACTTACTTTTTAAAGGGAAGCAGAGCATAAAATTTGGACAATTTGCAGCCCAGCCATATAGTAGAAAAGAATACTGTATTTTCTGGGTAGAATTTCAAGGCAGCTACAGAAATTTGCATAAATAAAAGGTAGGCAAATGCTAACAGCCAAGAGAGTGAGAAAAAGGCCTCCTAGGCATTTAGAGACCTTTAGGGGCAGTCCCTCCCATCATATGCCCAGAGGCCTAGGACAGAAGGATGGTTTTGTGGACCAGGGCAAGGGCCCCAATGCCCTGTGCAGCCTCAGGAAACTGCTCTTCACAGCTCAGTTGCTCTAGCTCCAGCCACATCTAAAACAGCCCAGGTAAAGCTCAGGCTGCTGCTTCAGGGGGTGCAAGCCATGAGCCTTGGCAGCTTCCACGTGGTGTTAAGCCTATGGGTGCACAGAGTGCAAGAGCTGGGGCTTGAGAGCCTCCACCTAGATTTTAGAGGATGTATGGAAAAGCCTGGATGTCCAGGCAAAAGCCTGCTGCAGTAGCAGAGCCCTCTTGGAGAATCTCTATCTACTAAGGCAATGCAGAGGGGAAATGTGGGGGTAGAGCCCCCACACAGAGTCCCCACTGGGGTATTGCCTAACGGAGCTGGGAGAAGAAGGCCACCATCCTCCAAACACCAGAATTGTAGATACACCAACAATTTGTGCCCTGCGCCTGGAAGGGCCACAGTAAATCAACACCAGCCCTTGGGAGCAGCCACCGGGGCTGAACCCTGCAAAGTCACAGAGATAGAGCTGCCCAAGGCCTTGGGAATTCACCCCTTGCATCAGTGTGTCCTGGATGGGAGACATGGAGTCAAAGGAGATTATTTTGGAGCTTTAAGATTTAATGACTGCCCTATTGGGTTTCGGACTTGCATGGTGCCTGTAGCCCCTTTCTTTTCTTTTTTTAAAAAATTTATTTTTTTATTTATTTTTATTTTTTATTTTTTATTTTTTGAGACGGAGTTTTCACTCTTTCGCCCAGGCTGGAGTGCAGTAGTGCAATCTCAGCACACTGCAAACTCTGCCTCCCGGTTTCAAGTGATTCTCCTGGCTCAGCCTCCCAGGTGGCTGGGATTACAGGCGCCCACCACCATGCCTGGCTAATTTTTGTATTTTTAGTAGAGACAGGGTTTCACCATATTGGCCAGACTGGTCTTGAACTCCTGACCTCATGATCCGCCTACCTCAGCCTCCCAAAGTGCTGGGATTATAGGCGTGAGCCACCGTGCCTATCCTATAGTCCTTTTCTTTTGGCCAATTTATCCCTTTTGGAATGGGAGTATTTACCCGAGGCCAGTAAATCCATTGTATCTTGGAAATAACTAACTTGTTTTTAGTTTTACAGGCTCATAGGCAGAAGGCACTAGCTTTGTCTCAGATGAGACTTTGGACTAACTTTTGAGTGAATATTGGAATGAGTTAAGACTTGGGGGACTGTTGAGAAGGGACGGTTGTATTTTGCAATGTGAGAAGGATGTGACACTTGGGAGGAGTCAGAGGCAGAATGACATGGTTTGGATCTGTGCCGTCACCCAAATCTCATGTCAAATTGTAATCTCCAGTGTTGACGGTGGAGCCTGGTGGGAGGTGATTGGATCATGGAGGTAGAATTCCCCCTTTGAGGCTGTTCTCATGATGGCGTTCTCATGAGATCTGGTTGTTTAAAGTGTGCGGTAGCTGCCCCCTCTCTCTCTTGCTCCTGCTCTGGCCGCGTTAAGATGTGCCTGCTTTCTGTTTGCCTTCAGGTGTAATTGTAAGATTTCCGAGGCCTCCCCAGAAGCTCTATGTTTTCTTTACAATCTGCAAAACCATACACTAATTAAACCTCTTTTTAAACTAAATTACTCATTCCCAGGTATTTCTTTATAGCAGCTTGAGAAAAAACTAATATACTTGGTATGGTTACTCTTTGTCCTCTATAAATCTATTTTTGTGTGCATTCCATTTTATCACTTTTTCTTCTTTTATTTGTAAAAGTGACTTACTGCCCTAACCAAAATACGTCACCTTCCTTTTCCTGCCTAACCCAGCCTGTTCCTCTTTAGGTGGATTTCAGCTGTCTTTCTGGGTGGTGAAACAGACTCCAGAATCTGCATAAGCTTTAGTGAAATCGGAAAAGATTTGTCTCATTCTAGCTGGTGGCCTAAAGATTTGAATGGAAAACAATACAGTAGTTCAGCCATCCCTGGCTTTGTAAAATGCCACTTTGCTCAGTCTTCGTTGAGTCATAATGCTACTACCTTTTCTTCCACAAGTTTCACCGTGTTTCTCACCACAAGGGTGTTGAACGTTTCACTGTGAAGATTCTTCAGTGTTATCAAAACATTGAGTATAGATGAAGTTAGATACTGAACAATCTGAATTTGTTTTATTAACTAAATTTTTGGTAATATTAATACATCTATGGAACTAGAATACATCTATTCAAAGAGCAGTGCTCTAGAAAGATGTCATTATCAAAATGAGATTTCTTCCTCTGACAGAATCTGTTAGATGGAGTCAATATTTATGGAGTTTTTATCCTGCTTGTGTCAGAGGCATTTGGAACAGAGTGACATCATTTGAATAGGGGCTGGGTAAAACTAGGCTGAGATCTGCTGGGCTGGATTCCCAGCGGGTTAGGCATTCTTAGTCACAGGATGAGATAGAAGGTCAGCACAAGATGCAGGTCATGTAGACACTGACCTGACAAAACAAGATGCAACTGAAAAGCCGGTCAAAACCCACCAAATTCAAGACGGTGATGAAAGTCACCTCCAGCCATCCTCACTGCCCATTGTAAGCTAATTGTAATGTATTAGCATACTAAAAGACACTCCACCAGCACTATGACAGTTTACAAATGCCATGGCAACATCTGAAAGTTACCCTACATAGTCTCGAAGGAGGAGAAACTCTTGGTTCCTCGAATTTTCCACCCCTTTCCCAGGAAACTCATGAAAAATCCACCCCTTGTTTAGCATATAATTAAGAAATAGCCCACCAGCGGCCCTCAGGGCTGCTCAGCCTATGGAGTAGCCATCCTTTTATTCCTTTATTTTCGTAACAAACTTGCTTTCACTTTGCTCTGTTGGCTCACTCTTGAATTCCTTCCTGGGCAAAGCCACGGACCCATGTGGCCTCCCAGGCTGAAACTCAATTCTGGGTTTCAACCTGTGACACTTGTATAATTTATAACTCCTGCCTGGATATAATGGTTTAGCTGAGCTCTTCGTTAAGTCCATTAACTACTGTCACAAGATAAACTCAGATTTATTGGCACTACTGGTTGCTTTGCTAAGACATGGAGGTTGAGAAGAAAGGATT